CCGAAGGGATGTTTAAAATTCAGATCGTCTGCCGGGAAGAGGAAAATAATTGCCAAGCGAATTTTGAGGTTGTATTTTTTGTGATTGATCTCAACACCTTACATGCTCCAAATTCAATTCATTAGGCGCCTAGTTTCTGTTCTGTCTTTTCTTTTTTTTAAACAAAAAAGGCTTTAGGGAGTCATAACCTTAACTCTTTCTCTAGAAAGAGTTAAGGTTATGATTACAAGGAGGAGCGGCGTACTGAGATGTAGATCACTTATATTTAGCCATCAAAAATGAGTACGGGAATGTGTAATGGGAGATGGAGGAAGAAGGAGAGTTTTTTTTTTTTTTAATTATGCGTTAGTTAATTTTATTTAAAGGAGTTGTTCACATACAGATAGGGATAGGGATTTGAAATTATTTTTGTCAATATTTTCAGTTAAAAGAACATCATTTCGTTTTTAAGGCAATCTATTCAAAAGCTTGCATACGATTTTGTTTAATTTGTAATGAGTTCCCGGAAAGGATTCTACAGAGGCCTTTCAAATCGCTCAGCTTATACTAGGAAAGGAAGAAAAATCTAAACTTCGAAATTTAATAATTAAATTTAGAATTTTAGAATTAAATTTTCAAATATCTATTCATGACATGATTATAAATTTCTTCAACAAATTTGATGCTAGGAATTATATAACTTCTCACCGTTTTCAATTCTTTGACGTATTCTACCTTGATTTTTCAATTCTTTGACGTATTCTATCTGCTGATTAAGTATTCATGGGCATTGTATTACCACAAATTTTTTTAATTAAATACATAAATAAATAAATGTAAGCCTCCAAAACAAAGATGAGTCATTGCTTATGTGGTGCTTTGATGCAAACGCATGCTGTGTTCCGTTTAAAGCAAAAGGTACCCTGATCTTTCTTAAAATTGCACATTATATTATACATAGAGGAACAGGTAAACATGATATAAATTCTCACACATACCATTCCTTTAATGGATGATTATTTATATTGCAGAAATACTTCTTGATTCTAACGAACTGTGATTTGATAGACAAGAGATGACAAATACTCTTTTTATCCAAACAATTTCCAGGCTCATCCCGTACCGAGCGGATTAAATCGCTGAACACTGATAATTCGACTTGGAGATCTCGATCAGCGCGCTGGCTGCATGGGGACATTTTTTGTTTCCCCATGCTTAACATAAATAGCAGCCAATTTTCCTTTGAAAGCCTTTCATGGAGACATCGTTCTGTCCAAGCAGATAATCCGTATATGATTCACCTTAATCAACTAATCAACACCAGTGCTTTCTGCTGGCGATGTGATTCAAAATCAAGTTCTGTATACAGAACTGCGATTTGATCTTAGTGAATTTATTTATACAAAAGCATATATAACAATCACTTTAGATTCTACTCAAAGCTTAGTTACAACTTTCTACATTTAAGGCTATGCTTCAAATACAAACAGTTATTATAAGGTGGCGATTGAAATCTTAATTTTTAATGATTAATTAATTCCTTAATTACCTTAACATAATCATTCTATTAACTTACTCTGAGACTCGTAGAAGCGAAGAGAAGAAAGCGTTTCGAAGTCTCAGCAAAACTGCTTCTCAGTAATAAGATAAATATGTAAAAGTTACCGACCTATAACTAGGACCAAAAAATAGTGATTTATAGCTATGGCTGAACATTCGCTAACAAAATAATTCGGATCTCAGAACAGGTCATACTTCAGAACAGAGGCAGTTGATAGTAATTCCTAATGCTCGGATTGGGCTGTATTATTTGACATCGCAAAGCCTAATGGATTTGTTTGCCTGAGGCGAGGGATGCCTCCATGGCGGACCTGTTAGTGCAATCTATTATTTATAAAAACATTAGTAATAACAAAGGCTCTTTTGTTATAGTTTAGAAATAACTGTACACTTTATTCTAAAGTTGCTATTGTAAGATTTCTGTTAACTGTAAACACACTAAAAATTCAAAACTTCAAAAGGCTTAACATCTTAAGAATTTATTAAGTGTTTTGAAACACACATGATAGTGTATTTTTTAGACTGAAATCCCCGAACGAAAAACACAGTGTTTACCTAGAGAAAGCATGTGTAAATAACCTGAATAATTTCGTACATTTGTTTGTATCGAGGACTATTTGGTATAATCTCATTATCGCTTTAATGCTGTCAACTATTCATTAGCGACCGAAAAAATTTATGTGACATATTTATAGTTTTATACAATCATTCTCATATTAATATTGGCTAAATATATAAGGCATTTTCTCCCTCTTTTTTGCATGCCTTCGCGGTGAAACTGGAAGCTCGCTCGACGCGTGTTCAGGAGGTTCGACGTTCAAATCTCGTCTAGAGCTCTGCACATTTTTCACGTTCCGGCATCGATATAAGTCTAATATGTACGACTGTAAATAATACGTACGTTCGTTATAATAATTTAATGATAAACTATTGAACACTGTATAATGACTGTAAAACAAACGCAGTAAATAAATAGATTATTTCAGTTTTTTTTTTTTTTTGGTCTAGATAAATTTTAAAAAATCTTTTGTGGACACTACAAGGTGTGTAAATTATGCACATTTTTTACTGTACTACATTAAAATTTATTTCCTTGAATTATTCTAACTTAGTCTGTTAAGGTATAGCAATAATAGCTGGAGTTAACACTATTGCCTTTGGGGAATTTATGGAATAATTACATAGTTTTGGAATTGCTTCTAGAGTTGTTTATTTATTTAAGTTTGAATAAGATATTTACAGCTAAGAAATATATTAGGCATTTCTAGCTTTTAAGTGCTTTTTTGCACCCTGCCTTCGCGTTGAAAAAGAAAAAACGTACGCCATACAGGAGCCTTTAATTAACTTCTGTCTAGAGGCACACCTTTTTTTTTTTTTTTTTTTTTTTTTTTTTTTTTTTTTTTTTTTTTTTTTTTTTTTTTTTTGTTTTTTTTTTTTTTTTTTTTTTTTTTTTTTTTTTTTTTTTTCCTCTTTTTTTTTTTTTTTTTTTTTTTTTTTTTTTTTTTTTTTTTTTTTTTTTTTTTTTTTTTTTTTTTTTTTTTTTTTTTTTTTTTTTTTTCTTCCTTTTAACGCATAAAAAATGTAAGACTGTAAATCGGACGTAGTCTTCGATAATTTAAACAACAAAACACAAATTCTTTTTTTTTTTTTTTTTTTTTTTTTTGTTTTTTTTTTTTTTTTTTTTTTTTTTTTTTTTTTTTTGTTTTTTTTTTTTTTTTTTTTTTTTTTCTTTTTTTTTTTTTTTTTTTTTTTTTTTTTTTCTTCTTTTTTTTTTTTTTTTTTTTGTTCTTTTTTTACCTTTTTTTTTTTTTTTCATTTTTTTTTTTTTTTTTTCCTTTTTTTTTTTTTTTTTTTTTTTTTTCTTTTTTTTTTTTTTTTTTTTTTTTTTTTTTTTTTTTTTTTTCTTTTTTTTTTTTTTTTTTTTTTTTTTTTTTTTTTTTTTTTTTTTTTTTTTTTTTGTTTTTTTTTTTTTTTTTTTTTTTTTTTTTTTTTTTTTTTTTTTTTTTTTTTTTTTTTTTTTTTTTTTTTTTTTTTTTTTTTTTTTTTTTTTTTTTTTTTTTTTTTTTTTTTTTTTTTTTTTTTTTTTTCTTTTTTTTTTTTTTCTTCCAATAAACGCACTAAAAGATTATCGCCAGATACATAAAAAATAGAGACTAAGAAACCTGAGAATAATTTTTTTCTTTTTTTTTTTTTCTTTTTTTTTTTTTTTTTCTTTTTTTCCTCTTTTTATTTTTCTTTTTTTTTTTTTTTTTTTTTTTTTTTTTTTTTTTTCTTTATTAATTAAAAAAAAGCATTTTGTTGTAAGAAATTTTACATTCTTCTAGTATATAAAACGTTTTATGCACACTAGATAGACTTTCTCCAAAGGTATATTAACATTCAGCATTCAGTGAGTAGTTTTAATACTCTCTTACTATAAGTATTAAAAAAGCACTAAAAAACGTACGCCATACTGTGTATTAAAAAGTATGCCATTTATTAACTTAGTGTCAAACAGTTGTATATTACTGACTTTTAAAGCATAAAACAGATCTATTGATGTTAAACAAAATTTCGGAAAATAATTCTTCGATAGCATGAACAATTGCTTTCACTCAGGCAAATTCTAAACAGGCAATACACAACATAACTAAAACATTCCATCGCCAATGTAACATAAATATAGAGACTAAGAAAACCTGAGAATAAGTATTTTCTCACAGTACTTCGAGAAAAATATTTTTTCTCAAGCCTGAACAACTTAAGCAAATACGTTCATATTTTCCCTTCAATCTTAACTACTTTAAATTTGTTTGTCAGTTTTAAATGCATTAATAAACATTTTTTTCTCTAACTTAAGTATCTTAAATAATTACTTTAACATATTCCCTCAATCATGAGATTATTTCTCAACCTCAAGTACCTTAAAAATTATTTTGTCTGAAACGTAAGTTTCTAAACTTAAGTAAACTTTGAGAAAAAGCATTATATTTGTTCTCACTCTTAAACACTTTAAATGTTTTCTTTACTTTGAATACTTTAACACTTTCTTTTAAACTTAAGAACTCTGTATAAACTTAAGTACCTTCATATTTTTTCCTAAATTTTTAGATTTTTTCTCATTTTTAAATACCAAAATAATTACCTTAATATTTCTCCCATAGTCTTTAAACATTTTCTCAACTTAAAATACCACAAGATTTTTCCTTCCCTCAAACTTAAGTATCTGAAATAATTATACCTTAATACTTTTACTCGCTCTTAATTATTAAATTTTTTTCAACCTTAAATGCCTTAACAGGTACTTTGTCTCAAGGTTAAGCACATTAAATAATTAGCTTAATATTTTTTTCTCAGTCTTAACAACTTAAAATTGTTCTCTAACTTAGGTATCATAATTATAATATTCCATTTGCACTGGCTTATTGAATAGTATGAAAACAGTTTTGAAAACATTAAGAGTAAAATAGGTAAATACTCACTGTTAGGAAAGCCACGTCGTGAAATCCAGCAGTTCTTCATCTTCTGGACTAAGACTGTCGTAAGGAGAACTGGCGTCCGACCCAAGACTTGGAGTCGGCGAGCTCGCCGCCGAGCATGGCGGCGAAGTCAGCCCGCCGAAACTCACCGTTCCAACCCCGGTAGACTGAATATGACCATTGCCGTTGCTGTAACTGTGCAGAGGGTTATTAGACTGATGGAGAGGATGCTGCGAGGGATGCGGGTGATGAAACTGGTCATCGAAGGATGGAATGCTGTTTTCGTCGTCGTCTCCCGTGTCGCTGAGCAGTTGTTGCAGCTGCTTGATATACTGGACCGCCGATCTTAGTGTTTCAACTTTGCTCATCTTCTTGCTTTTTGCGCCGTTGGGGACATGTTGTCGGAGCGTGGCAAAACCTAAGTTGACCTGCCGGACTCGGTTACGTTCTCTTTCGTTCCTTCTCGCTACTGCTGGGGCTGCTGATCCTCTGTGGAGCCCCTGTACAGGTCGGCGTTTGTTTTTGAGGGACTGATTCGAGCCGTCGATTGTTGCATCTGTGTCTTGCCGCTGTCTCTTTGGGGCTATTTTGCTGACTGTCGACCTGCTGTTAGTCGTTGTTGAAGATAATGTTGTTTGAGATGGCACAACGGAAGTCGCTAAAAGGTACGTTGTAGACGTTGCACTATTGTTACTGTTGTTGCTTACTGCTACTAAGTTGCTGTGATCAGTTGAACCACTGAGTAAAGTTAATGAAGCCATGATTTTTTTCTTAAAACCTCGATATATAAAAAGATATTATTTTTGCTGTTTCATAAATGATTTAAGTGATTTTAACGAAACTTCATAATAAAACTATAAACAACAAAACTAAAATTCTTTGAGCAGATATATACGAAACCGGAAAAAAATTGAAGTTTTGAAAAATTAGAGGTGTAAATGAATCAAAATCTTCAAACAATTGTCACTTTATGTGAAGGATTTAATCAGTTCTTTTGAGAATTTTTTCGACTTTTCTCTTGAACGGCGAAGTTTTCTTACTAGTAATAAAGATACGAAATCTAACTAAATTTAAGGAAACCAACTACTGTTTTTCAAAGTTCAAGCCCTGGAAGGGTGATGAAAGCATCGCACTGAAAATATATTTTTAAAATTATGAAATTATCTATAAATGGCGCCAGAAATTGATAGAAGAATAAAAGTTACTCCTTACGACCAAGCACCAGAATCCATTTCACGAGTTTTATCAATGAAATTCTATCGCTCATTTTCTAAGAGGTAGTTTAAGTATAAAGTCCCACGCGATAAATATGCAATCACAACAGCAAAGATAAAAATCGATTACGATAACAACCACTCTTCTTTTCTAGGCTACATCACAGTCCCACATGTGCTTACGATAATTCAGTCACGACTAGTGGTTCCTTCCCTAGCGCTCTCCAGGTAAGAACTGAAGTTTGGAAACGGGTCCCACAGTTAAAAAGCACCCAACTCATGAATACTTAGCCCCTCCTGAAGCTTTGTTGCTCGTGCCAACAGTTTCAGTCGCGTGGCGCTAGACCTGCTACCCCCCCTTCCATTTTCCCTCCTTTCAATTTTTTTTTTACTTTTTTTCCTTTTCGTCTTCCGTCGCTTTCCGAGCGGGGAGGAAAGGAAGGTGGAAAGGGGGGTCTTCGGGTTGTCTTTCCTTTTTTCCGGCCCTCCCTTCAGTCCCTTTCTACCCCCATCATGTCTTCCCCCCTCCAAGAAGTCGCTCGTTTTGAATCTTTCTTTCTTTTTTTTTTCAACCTTGGACGGAGCTGGCGGGCTGCATTTGAGACAGATTGAACAGATGGAAAGAGAGAGAGAGAGCTTTTTCGTCCGGGGATGGTAGGGTAAAAAGAGGAAAAAGGAGATGGATTGATTTATTTTCTGTTTATTATTTTGATTTTTTCTTTTTTCGTTTAGCATGTATGCGTGGTGGAGGTCCCGTTCGTTGCTTAGAGGAAATGTGGTAAAAAGATTTCTTTGCGAGGGACATTTACCTGTAATTAAACAATTATGAACCTTCACTTTGGAAAAGATATAAGAAAAACCGCGCAAAAATTGATTTAAAAAGCACATTTCTAAGCTAAGTCTTCGTATGTTGGTTCGTTGTTCTAAATCTCCATATGCTTAATCTTAGCTCCCCATTTAATAATACATAACGTTATTAATACAAAAAAAAAAGCATTTTCCTTCAAATATATTAACAAATTCAGTGATTAATATCTTTGGTGTGTTTGGGACTCTTAATATTTAATACCAGTTTACATAATGACAGCTATTATTCAAGTTTACCTTCGAAGTTAGCTGATAAAATACTTTTTACTCCACTTAATCATCAGACTGAAAAGAGACTGAAAGTGAACATTAGATATAACATTGCCATTTATGTTATAAAAAACAACTACTAAAATATAATATAATTTTAATTAAAAATCGGGAATTTATCTAGAATAATAATTTAATTAGAATCACTTCATAAAAATCAGTTTATAAAAATTTTATATTAAAAAGCTTATAATTAGGAAAAATAGTTTGAGTAAAAATCAACTTTAAATCAAAACTAACGAAACTAAGGATAATTTAACTCCCTTTTAGTATTAGTTTTCTTAACAACAAATATTTTTCTTTTACATTTCCTAAATTTTGGCGTAACAATTTATAATAAATTTGACTTTCAACTATTTTAAAGCTAAATATTTGGATGTTATTCATAATGTTGATATTTGCATTAAAAAAGCCTGGAATAAGAAAAAATTATTTTTTTAAGGAAAAACACTATTACTACTATAACTCATAATATTAAAACAAATAAAAGTAACATGTGGAAAAATAAAGGAAGAAAATTCCGAGAAGAAAATTCCGAAAATTATCTGTATACTAAAATTAGAAATTCTGAAACTAGACATATATCAGTGACATCTAACAGAATCTTTTCCTTCGGCCGTTTGTAACATTATTTATTTATTTATTCAGTATACGCCAATGATATTAAAAGGAAGAGAAAATCAGAAAAATTGAATTTTTCTCTTTGATTAAAATGGAAATAAAACTGCTTGAAAGAGACAACTGATAAAGTCACTTACTAAAATATTTTTTAAAAGATGTTAATACAAATTTTAAAAACTATAAGGTATTTCTATCGCCTTCTTAGCGAGCCTTCGTGGTGTAGAGGTCTACACGCTCTGCGAGTAACTGAAAAGTCCTCGGTTCGATTCCCGCGAAGGCATTGCATATTTTTCATTTCTCCTGCTTCCAAAACATACCTAATTTCTCTACAAAACACAATTAACTATATCTCGTTTAAATCGTCATGTATATATATTTTCAAAACTAAAGGAGTGTTTTCAATTTACTGAAGTTTTAAAGAAAGTAAGAAATATACAAAACCCACATTTGGGGCAAGTTAAAAAAAAAATATTTACTTTTTACTTATCAACATTTATTTAGATTTTTAAAATCTAATTATTTAAAATGAATATTGGCTTTGAGTAATTAAGTTATCAGACAAAATTTGCATTTTGTCTGATAATTCAAGGTTATTAGAGGTTGGATAATCTTTATCATATCAGTTTGAAATTAAATAAATGTTGATACTCATATTAATGCGATCAATAAAACTGCCGATTCATAAGTATTCTACAGGTATGTTTGTACGGATCCTGGTAAGAAGCACCACAGTCATTTTTATTATTATTATTATTTGTATGCTAGAAAAAAAAAGTCCCACGATAAATTTATTAGATCCCCCCCCCATTTTTCGTGTTATTATTTTTTATTTTACAAATATAAATCAATTTTAATAAATCAAATATTCTAACTCACATCAGTTCGATTTTAATTAATGTGGCGGCTTCGCCTGATGTATTAATACATTTTTTTAGTATTTTGTATAAAATTGCTTAACTTAATTCATAAATCCCCTTGTTCAGAAATTTCCTCCTTTTCCTTGATTTCTTTAGTAAGTTTTTGACTTGAATAAAGCCTGCTTCCACTAGGTAAGAAGAGGGAAATGCCAATAATGCTTATTCGATAAAAACTTTTATTTTGGATAATTTCTGTCGGATCAATTTAAAATCCCAGAACTTAGCGTACCCATGTGCTTTCATTATTGTGTTTGAACCTCCTCCTTCACAGCAATCAACTCTTCTCGCCTCTAAATATCAAATGTATCGCAGTTCAGTGGTTCTATGAGCCTTGCTGGCACATTTAGATTTTTAATGTCTAATAATTTAATAATTTTTGGAAGCAGACATTAAAATCTTCTCATAAATTTGGCAAATGTCTTGAAAAGTAATAAATCTTTTCAGGAAGTTTTGCGTTTTTCGCATTTTTTTTTGGGGGGGGGGTTGTATTTTCTTGTGTTTCTGCGTTTTTTTTATATTGCATTTTTTGCATAAAAAATTAATGTTTTTTTAAAAAGAAGCATTATTAACTTTTAAAACACTTTAATATATATAATTTTTGCATATTTTTCTTTTTTATATTTATTTTATGTGATTTCTTTCTCATTATATGATATAGCTTTAAATAAAACAGTTAATATAGTTTTATAATATTAATTTTTTGTAATTAGAGGGATTTTTATTAGATGATCATTCGGCCCTAGGCGCCCCTTGATTATCACTGACCGCTTTAAAATTTCATCGACTCCTAGGGGTCGATAGTGTCCTCATTGGGAACCTATCTGCTATAGTGTAGTATACGCAGTTAATTTGAATTTATTTATTTATTTATTTATTTATTTCTGAAATCTAGGAGGATCACTTATAGTCTGCGGACCACAGACTGATTGTAATTGATACGATTCTCGTAGAAACGGTTCTCACTCGAAAAACGTTTGAGAAACGCTACGCTGTTCTAGACCAAACATGCACGAACAGTACAAACAATAATTTTTCAATGCTTTTGATAAAAACCTATTGGCTTAGGCATAATTTTTATTCCTTTACATTTCAGAGTTTGAAAGGAATGACAGGAAAAGAAATGGTTTTGCTAGATATATATTTTTATTTCTTTTAGTTGCTTGTTTAGTTGTAAGCATAGCTATTATAAGCACATTACATTTAATTAACAAAAATTATTAATTTAGATAAAAGGAAATTTCTTAGAACACAATTATGTTTCGGAAGGAAAACGTCGCCCTGGGCAGACTGCCCTCCATATAGATATGTCACTGGTACTATATTTACTTTATATGAAAAGTAAGGAGCTTTGTCATTTTATTCTAGTCCTTGCCAATAGCTGAGTGGTTAGGACAGGTAAATGCTGGCATATCGTCGCGGGTTCTATCCCAAACGAAAAGGCTGACTACATGGCTGATTTTTGTAGTTTCCGCAACAGTGAAAACGAGCCAGTTTTCTTCATGAAGTACTCCGCGAAGGCATTCCTCTCGTAGACAGAGAGCCCGCATATGCTTTCCTATATTCCAAAAACCCTAACCGTTTTAGCCTAATCTTTAAACGACAATTTGATAATGAAGAATATGATAAATTTTCTGACTAATGTTGAGTATAATTTCGAGAGATGACAGAGCAATTAAAAATCACGTTTAAAAAAAAATCGTAAGAAATGAAACATCGATCTAAATCTTGCATGTACTTGGGCTCATGGTCCGTATTATGGTAATTTCCTAGGATTGTATATGAATGGGTAACTTATCACTCTGTATTGCATCTCATTTTCTCTACTGCGCATTTCGCAACTTGGCAACATTTTGTTCTGAAATTTCAAAATTTATTTTCAGGCATTTCAAAACAGAGTTTTAAAATGCCTGAAAATAAATTTTGAACTCTCAGTCAACGGATTCGGAGATATTGAATGTACATATTTTCTTTCAGCAGCAAGAAATATTCCATTGCCTCACCTGCCTTTTATTTATGCTTAGATAAATATGGCTAAATAACCACTTATAGCTATATCAGTTTATACATAAGTAATGATTTAGAGTTTGTTAACATGGATATACGTAAGTAATTGCATGGAATATGTCAGCAGTCGTGCAGATATGTCTTTTTGTTCTTGAGAAATACGTTCTTAATATGAGTATCGTAGTGGCAGCAATCTGCATACCCGCTTTTAATCACATATATTCCTCTTTGCATCGTTACGTTTATGCGATAATGAAAGAGCGGTAGTAGCGATATGTTATCAGGACAGCATGCAAAAGCAGGAATACGACGTAAATAAGCTGAAAGCTTAGTTCAGAACAATCTGATTTTAATTCAAATTTAGTTCCCTTTGGTTAATAAAACGTTTTGTAACCCAGATTAAAATTTTTGTTGGCGCTTTTATGTTGCCTGCGACACGAACGTTATGCAAGAATCATATGATATGGATTAATTTTGGAATGATGCAGTTTAAAGCGATTTATTGTAAGTAGTTATTTTTAGGACAGAAAAAGGAAAACACCCAAATTAAAATGGAGAGTTCGGTT